TCTTGAAGTAAATTTATAATTTCTATTTGATACTTGTTTTATTTCATTATAGTGTAAATTATTTTATTCATTATATATATATATATTTTCTCAGGTTGAAACTCCTATGATGAATATGATTGCTGGTGGTGCAACCGCTAAACCATTTATAACTCATCATAATGATCTTAAACTTGACCTATTTATGAGGGTGGCTCCAGAATTGTTCCTTAAAATGCTCGTAGTTGGTGGTTTAGATCGTGTTTATGAAATTGGTCGTCAATTTCGTAATGAGTCCATTGATCTTACACATAACCCTGAATTTACTACATGTGAATTTTATATGGCATACGCTGATATGTATGATTTAATGGAAATGACTGAAAGTATGTTATCTGGGATGGTCAAAGCTATCAATGGTGATTACAAGATTAAATATCACCCTCAAGGGCCTGATGGAATAGAAATGGACATAGATTTTACACCGCCTTTTAAGAGAGTTAGCATGATCGAAACACTAGAAAAACGGTTGGATGTTAAATTCCCCCCGGCTTCAGAGTTGCATACCGATGAAACTAATAAATTTTTGCAAGAACTTTGTGAAAAACATGAAGTAGAATGCTCGCCACCAAGAACCAATGCACGTTTATTAGATAAGGTAAGTGAATATTTCAAATAAATTAATTAAATTAAAGTTTTCATTTTTTTCGTTCTTATTTACAATTTGATTTAATATTATAGCTTGTTGGCGAATATATCGAGGTGGACTGCGTATCTCCAACGTTTATCACTGGTCATCCACAAATGATGTCTCCTCTTGCTAAATGCCATCGAGACATCCCAGGTCTTTGCGAACGATTTGAGTTATTTGTCGCCACTAAAGAAGTATGCAACGCTTATACAGAATTAAATGATCCTTTTGACCAGCGCGATCGTTTTGAGGAACAAGCTCGTCAAAAAGAACAGGGAGATGATGAAGCCCAACTTATTGATGAAACTTTTTGTACAAGTTTAGAATATGGACTTCCACCAACGTAAGGTCTTTCTTTTTGAAAAAAAAAAAAATTCATTTTTCAAATTAAACTAATGTTATAAATTTTCTAGTGGTGGATGGGGAATGGGTATCGATCGTCTTACAATGTTCTTAACTGATAGTTCAAACATTAAAGAGGTTTGCCTTATTCATTCATTCATCAAATTCGTTTTCGATTGTATTCTAGTATTTATGTATTTATATATCTTTCAGGTCCTTCTCTTCCCTGCCATGAAACCAATTGACGAGAAAGAGAAAGAATTAGTAGCCCAAATTGAAGCTTCTCTTAAAAATAACTAATTTCATTCTAATTTCGACCTTGATTAATTAAAAGAATGGTTTATAGATAATATAATTTAAATAAAAGTAATTTGTTCTTTAAATAAATAACTTAAAAGTTTTATTACTATTATATGAAGAAATTTAGTTAACAAGTTTTGAATATAAAAAAAATATATGTTTGTACTTTTTTTGATTTACACAATACTAACGTACGTACGTTAAATATTAAATACTATATTTAGGGTTGGAGCACGGCATGACACCCTAAAATATCACGTGAAAATAATTAGTAAAACAGCACATGTAATTAGTAATTTCTATAGCATCGCCCATGGAATGGATTGAAATCACTCCCCCATGCCGATTTTGGGTCAAAACCCCGAACAACTGAGATTATCGAAAGAACATAACACCGACTAAATTGGCCGGAATTATAGCTAGTGCCGGCTAACTTTGTCGGCATTATGTTCTTTCGGGGATCCGTTTTTCGGGATCTTTTTTTTTTTTTGACCCAAATTCCCCCGTGCCCCAACCCTATATTTTAGTTATTATATTTATAATAGGTTTTAATACTTTTATAATATTATAAAATGTTGTTTACCTATTATTATAACAATTCTTCAATCAAGTTTAACGCTGGTAGGTAAGTACATATGTACAGTAGTATGAATTTTTTTTCGCCCTATTTAACTATTTTATGTATTAAGCTTCAAAGCTTTTGTAAATAATCTTTCTCCATTATT